AAGAAGGCATATTCTCAGCCCTATTGCTACATTTTAAGGTTTTCAATTAAAGATACTTCAAATAACAAGCTATATCCCTCAAATATCCATTACCTCTCTAAAACATTTACATATTGACTTTAATCTAATCTATTTGAAAGATGTCTTTGGTTTACTAAATCAATGCTGCTCCTCTCGTTAGGGAACTGGTTTTGGATTCATTAATTCTCCAAATATTTGTATTCTGAGTGTCTTTTAGGGCTAAGACATTCTTTAAATCACACACACACACACACACACACACACACACACACACACACGAACAACTCAACCTATAGGTTAATTCAGGCATTCTTCTCTCATCCAGTATATAAGGTATACTTATGTATATAAGGTGTACTTAATCCCTCTGTACCCTAGTTTCCTCCCCTCCAATTAACTAATTAATTCCTCATAGAATTAAGAGAGTTAATACATTGTATAAAGCACATTGCATGATGCCTGGCATATAGTAAGTATTCAAGAAATTTTGGCCATTCATTTAGTACTGAGCATGGAGAAAAGCAATGTAGAAGTACAGATACAGAGATAAATAAATTTTTTAAAAAAGAGCATGAAAGAATCAAAACTTGAACTGATTCTTGGAGAAAAGAGGAAATTTAATAAGTAGCTGGAGAAGGGCCAGGTCAAGCAAATGGTGTGTGAAGACACAGAACTTTGGGACTAAATAGTGTTATCTGAGGAATTGTAAATGATTCATTACAGCTGGGTTAAGAGATATTCCAGAATGAGGGAGTAGAAACTATGATTTACTGGCCAAACCTAGGTGATGGTAAGTGGGGCAGAGGGTAGATTTCTGGTTGATGATGATGATGCCATTACTGAATAAGAAAACATGGGAGATGGTGTGGGTTTTGACAAATATTGGGTTTTCGGCAAGGTATGTGAGGAGCGCTGAACATTTAAGTGGAGATATACAAGTGGATATGCAAATCTGAGGCTTTACCGGAGTACTCTAGTGCCCTAACAGTATACCAGAACATTCAGTTCAGTGTGCCATTGTTGGTGGTGGCCACAGACTTGAGAACTTTACTACAATTACTAGGAACCAGCATGGAGAACAAGAATAATGTAAGCTAATCTGGCATTTGGAGCATTTGGAACAGCAGGAGCTAAATAGAGTAGAAATGGAAGCAGGCTAGTATGGGACCCTAGGAAGAAACTAGAGTTTTATATCAATTAGGATGCTTTGGGTTGAAAATGACAGAAAACTGATTTATATTGTTGAGACTTGACATAAGTAATTAAAAACACAAGCTGACGGACAGGGAGGATAGCTTTATACCAAGACAATTCAGGCTCAACCCTAAGCTGAAGGTGAGGAATTCAGCTTACTTTCAACATTTAGCAGTGTTATTGAGTGCTTGCTTACTTATGCCAGGCACTGTTTTAGTTAACAGGCAAAATGTCTCTCTATTCTCTGGACCATATAAAAAGGAATTCATGAGCACTCTTTCTTCATTCAGATGGAAAAAACTAAGTGCAGGGAGATGAAGAGAGAAAGCTTTAGGGTTTAATGAAAACTCCAAAATATTTGCTGGGAGTTTTAGCACCTCTTTGTAGGAACATCTGAACTTCTGCAATTACTATCAAATGGAGGGGTGAAATACAGAAGCAGTTAAGTATAGATACCAAACTAAAAAGTCAAAATCCAACCAATGATATATTTTAAAGCCCAATGTGGATTTAGTCAAAGTYTTTGACTTAATCAAATTGAATTATCGAGAATTCATTCAGATTGTATAAAACTGACAAAACATATTTTCAAATATTTGTGGCTGAGCTTTCTAACTTAATTATGTGAAATATATTCTATGTAGGTCATATCCAAACCTACATTCGTCCATTCATATTTTAATTTAAAAAAAGTTTGCAGTAAAACAAAACCTCACGCTCAGTCATTATATCTAACTAAGCACAATCAGTTTCATATGTGCTTTCCTGTTTTCTATTGCTGACTCACCGTGCACCTGTGGGTACATTGCTTCACCTCACTGAGCCTATTTTCTGTTCTCTGATTTGGAAATTGTAAAACCTATGTCATAGGATTTTTAAAAAATAAAATACTAGTATGTGTTGAATGTGTTAACGTAAACGCACTACATACAATTGAAGGTTAAGATTAGCCACAAGTTTGCCATAAGTTCAGGCTTTAGCATTTTAATGGCTGAAAAGCAGTCTTAATTTGTAATTTTTTTTTTAAAGAGAGAGAGAGAGAGAGAGAGAGAGAGAGAGAGAGAGAGAGAGAGAGAGAGAAAGAGAATTTTTGTAGTATTTATTCTTTAGATTTTGGCGGACACAACATCTTTGTACGTGGTGCTGAGGAACGAACCCCAGCCCCTGGCCCCACGCATGCCAGGCGAGCGCACTACCGCTTGAGCCACATCCCCAGCCGTGTAATTTTTTTTTTTTTTTATTCCAGTTAGAATGCTTTCCAAACAATTCTATCAAGTTTTTATACTGTAAATCTTAAAATACGGCTCACATATGCTTCGTCTTTTTTTCAAATTACCCTGTACAAAAAAGTCATGAATGCCTGATGTAGCTTAGCCTCCTGAAAGATAAGGAAACAATCAGGAATATCAAGTGATTTGATTCTCTAAAAAGATATTTGAATAAAAGAGTTATCTATATGAACTTTTATGACCCTTCTCCGCTGAGTTTTCACTAGATGAACCTCTGTACCCATATGAACACTTGTGCAAAATGTTCCCAGGACACCTCTGAAGGGGAAAAAGAATCCACTCTATTATAGTGAAGGAGTGATATGGAAAAGTCCACTTTTTTTTTTTGACCAGGGATATTTCTGTGAAGCAATTCATAAGAAAGTTCATTTTCCTTTCCTTTTTTTTAGCCATGTTTTGAAAAGAAACATTTTTTTTTTAGATACAAATGGTTGTCAGATGACTACAAAATACTTAACTTTCTTCTTGAGCCCTCTATTCCCTTTTACAAAATAAAAACTAGCCATGATCTATACTGGCATAGGTGTATAGCTCCCAGAACTGCTTAATCCCACAGATGCAGCCAACACCTGTTTGAAAAACTAAAACATAGCCCCTTCTCCAAAAAAGAAAAAAAAAAAAAAGATATTTTCTTCCCCAGTTGGTACTTTCTAGAAAATAAGTTCAAATTATCACCAGGGAACCAATACACTTTTATTCTTTGTCATAAACTAATTGATGAGTTCAATCAATGGGTAGTAAGTAAAGACACTTAAAAATTTTTAGACAGTGGCATGCTGGGCCTTTTTTCCCTTTTCCTCAATTTTAAAATCTTGCAATATTTCAGTAACTTCTTAGATTTATTTCAACAATCCATGCATCTGGAATAAGGATTTCTCCAGAGTTTTGAGAATCACAGCCTAATAATTCTTTTATTTATATGTAGTTTGGTGTCAAATTGGGGTCATGCTTTACCAGCTGCTACTCCCTTCTACATCTTCGATCTTTAAAGAAAATTCTTGTTTTAGCAGTTACTTCAATTTTGGGATTTTTATTTGCAAACCTAGGTAAGTGACAGAACTGTTTTTTCTGAGTTTGAGATATATCATTATGTTCCTTCCTCATCAAACAAAACACGAAAGCTGGCACAATTACTTTTAATGACTTTTACGAATTATGATATATTTAATATATTTTCCCAACTTAATGAATTCTATAGAACTTTAAAAATTTTGGCAGTTTTTTTCTATGCCGAATGTGCAGTGTCCTATAATTTCCTCTTTGTCTCTTAAAAGTGTAAGAATCATGGAAAGATTGATGCAGTGTCTTTTTATTGTTCTAAATGCTACAAATAAACTGGGCAAGGTGGTATATGCCTATAATCTTAATGACTCAAAAGGCTGAGAGACTGGAGGGTAAGTTCAAAACCAGTCTGGGCAATTTAGTGAGACTCTTGTCTCAAAAAACGAAAAAGGCTGGGGAGGTAGCTCAGTGGTAGAGCACTTCTGGGTTCAACCCCTAGCACCACAAAGAAAAACCTACGAATAACTACAGCATTTTGGATTGTATTACTCAAATCCAAGGTTACATCTTCCCAAATACCCCTAGTTTGTTTTGTTGAGTATTACTATATGCACACCATTAAAATAGGGGCTGAGCTAGGCTCAGTGGCACAGGTCTGTAATCCTAGGCTCGGGAAGCTAAGACAGGAGGATGAGAGTTCAAAGCCAGCCTCAGCAAAAGTGAGGTGCTAAGCACCTGTCTCTAAATAAAATATAAAATTGGGCTGCAGATGTGACTTGGTGGTCAAGTGCCCCTTGAGTTCAATCCTGGGTATCAAAAAAAAAAAAAAATAGGAACTGACTAGAGAAAACATGTAGAAATAGGACTGCTAGATAAAATTACAAGATGCTCAGTTAAATTTGCATTTCAGATAAACAGGGTTTTTTGTTTATTTTGTGGTACTAGGGATCAAACCCTAGTACCCTTTATCATACATGCTAGTCTACCACTGAGCTCCATCTCTAGCCCTTTTCAAATTTTATTTTTGAGACCCACACTGGCCTCTAAYTTGTGATCTTCCTGCCTTGGCCTCCTAAGTAGCTGGGATTATAGGTGTGTGCCATGATGCCTGGCTAGACAAACAAACTTTGATATTCACATGTCCCAAATATCACATATACTGAAACACTGTTTACCAGTATTTGAAATCCAAACTTAACTGGGTGCCCTGTAGTTTTCTTTGCTAAATTTGATAACCCTTTATAGAGAACACTTATTCTTCAGTATACTATTTAATAGGAAAATTAATGAATAACATAAGGCCATATCTAATAAGTACAATCACACTCAGGGGAGGAACAGAAGAGTATCTGGAAGAGATGGCAATTAATGTAGGTCTTGAAAAATGACTAAATTTTCAAGTGGCTTAACGTGGGCAGGAGGTTTAATGTGATGACTTTGGAGTTCAAGTGTCCTGAGTTAAATTCAATATTCATCACTACCTGTGCAACCTTGGACACGTTACTCAAGCTCTCTTTATTATAAAACGGGAYACTAGTACTTTTCTTACAAAGCTGCTTGAGGATTAGAGATAACATATATACAAAGCACCTGGAACATGAGGCACTCCCCCAATGGTAATTCCTCCTTGTCACAAGGAAGGTACTTGTCACAAATATTCAAATGTTGATATTATGCAGTAAGAGTAATATTGAATAAGTAATTTTATTTCCATGATCTATTTACACTGTACAAACACTGATGAAAAGCACCCTACAAGTTCACAGTACATTACAATATATTCACTTTAAAAATATATTCCTTTATAAAAGGTTCATAGAACATTTCCATGTCAATATGTGACAGAACTCTCAAAGCATGTCACCAATTATGTGATAACAAGAATGCTTCCAAGTACTGTTAATTTCACAATCACAGATCACCATTTGAATTTTAAATACATACAAGTTTTAAATTAAAAATGAATTCTACAGTGGAAAGTTCTTGAAGCAATACTTATTAGTTCATTAACATATGTACTTTCACAGAGATGTTTTGTCATAATAACCCACAACATCAAATTAATCTGCCCAAAGACACATTTCAACAAGTTTAGCAGTCCAAAAATTCTTGTCACTTGTGGTTGTTTTACTTTTTCTTCTTTGCTTGTTCTCCCGGTTCTACTTTGCGCTTTTTTGAAGTATGCTCATCTTTTTCATCATCTTTAAATAGGAAAGGAAGAGTTTCAATCAGTAATTTAAAAAGCAACCAACATGGAAAGCATTAAAATGTCATAGGTTTTATACCAAAATAAACACCTTCAACTGTTAGAATTTCCAAATAAAAATTTAAAAATAATTTTTAGAACTGATATTAAACTCTAAATGAAAACATTTTTTTTTTCAATTACAGCAATATAAAATTCACAAATTTACTTTTTTTGTTGTTGTTACTAGGGATTGAACTCAGGGGCACTCGACCACTAAGCCACACCCCCAGCCCTATTTTGCATTTTACTTAGAGACAGGGTCTCACTGAGTTGCTTAGCACCGTATGTTTGCTGAGGATGGCTTTGAACTCAGGATCCTCCTGCTTCAACCTCCTGAGCCACTGGGATACATCTGTGTGCCATGGTGCCCAGTGCACAAATTTATTATTTAGCACTACATTAAAGTAGTTTAAATAGGAGAGTTTCCATGAAAATCAGATTTGCTCTGAAAAATTATTCTCTAATATTCTACAGTATATACATTGCTTATTAATTAATGACATCTATACTTTGTAAGAATGGAGCACACTGTTTTCTTACTATAAGAAGGATCAATCTAACCATGACATCATTCAAGGGGTTATCGGTTGTCCTTTTCAATCTTTCTTTCCTCTCACAACTATTTCTTTTCCCCCCATTCTCAGCAACCACTCCCCCTTGCATTTTGAGGTTAAAAAGCACAAGTAAAGGTTTCACTGAACCTCTATTTTCAGTTTTGCCATGTGTAGTTCTAATGTCCATTCCTAAGTCAGAAAATTCCAATGGCAACAGAAGAACACTATCTTCCCCTCTTCATATTGTGTCAAATTTGGATGGAGGTAGAGAAGAACCATATATTAAAACAGTGTCCTTGCCAGGTAAGGTGGTACATGTCTGTGATCTCAGTAACTTGGGAAGCTGAAATCAAGAGGATCACAAATTTGAGGCCAGCCTGAGCAATTTAGCCAGGCTCTAAGCAACTGAGAGACCCTGTCTCTAAATAAGTCAAATAAGGCTAAGAGTATAAAAGCACTCCTGGGTTCACTTCCCAGCACCAACCAAYCAACCAAACAAACCAACCATCTTTCACACTTCCAAAACATTACTAGTGTCTGTAGCCACAGACAATTTCCAATGAACAAAAACTGTCAAATCTAAAAAAGTGTTTTTTGTTTTGGTGGTGCTAGGGATTGAACCCAGGGCCTTGTATATTTGAGGCAAGCATTCTACCAACTAAGCTCTATCCCCAACCCTGGATCTTTTTATTCTATTAAAAAGTCTGCCAGGTGCAGTTGTGCATGCCTGTAATTCCAGGCACTTAGGAGGCTGAGGCATGAGGATTCCAAGTTTAAAGCCAGCCTTAGCAATTTAGTGAGGCCCTGAGCAACTTATTGAGACCTTTTCTCAAAATGAAAAATAGAAAGGACTGGGAATGTAGCTCAGTGTTTAAGCACTTCTAGTTACTATCTCCAGTACCAAAAACAAAACAAAAAACCCCATAAAATTCCAACTATATGGTTCAATAAAATACAGGGTAGCACAGACTAGTTGCTAATTCCCACGTCACTACATAAATATGTGGCACTATTTTAAGAATTCCATACAGAATAAATACATCACATGTAGAAGATGTTATGATTTATAAAACAAAATTTTATTCATCACATTAATGAATTAATTGTAGTTTTTCTTGATCAACAGAGACTCAAAAGTCCAACAAGTATCATAAGTGATGCAATAAATATATGTTGAAAGGTACCTTCTTATTAAAAAGTTGGAGAACCTGATATCCAATCACAAATTACTTGAAATATATTTAAAACCTTAAGCCTTCAATTCTCTTCTAATGAATGTACCATACTCAGAACAATTCATTTTTTAATGAGGACAATAATTAGTATCAAGTGATCCCTATTCATTTATCTTCAAATACAACTTGGCAATATCATTCATGTCTCATAGAGCACTATGAATTTACATAAGCAATATAATAAATACAACTCATATCAATAACTCCAATCTGGAATTTCAAATCAAAGTTTTAATCAGTAGTTTACCATGTACACAGAAAAATACTGACTCTACAAGTTAACTGATACAATACTCTATTTAAGCCATGAACTTTTTTGGGGGGCGGGTAGGGGGACTGGGAATTTTAACTCAGGGGTGTTTTACACTACTGAGTCACATCCCCAGCTCTATTTATTTTGAGACAGGGTCTTGCTTATAAAACAAAATTTAAGTTGCTTAGGCTGGTCTTGAACTTGGGATCTACTTGCCTCAGGCTCCAGAGTTGCTGGGATTGCAGGCATGCATCACTGTACCTGACCAGGACTTTTGGCTATTTTTTTTTTTAATATTTATTTTTCAGTTGTAGTTGGACAGAATATCTTTATTTATTTACTTTTTTTTACGTGGTGTAGAGGATGGAACCCAGGGCCTGTGCTTGAGAGGCGAGCACTCTACCACTGAGCCACATCCCTAGCCCCAATATTTGTTTTTTAACTGGAGTTACCATCAAGGTTATATTGAGATTATTTTCAGGAATGGTAATAAAAAAATTTTAATTTTTTTAAAATTAAAAAAGCACTTTCTAAGCCTCCTATAAAATTCACTATTAACAAATATTGAGAAGATGACCCCAAGACACTTCTCCTTCTCCTTTTATTCTGCCACTTATAAGTAAATTTACTGATAACAAAACCACAAACTACTGAGATTGAAAAAAAATAACTTCTATCAGTGATTTAAGTAGAGGAGCTGATGCCATCTAGTGTCAAGACAAAGAATTACCTTAAAAACCAGCGCAGGAAAAACAAATCTGAAAATGCTCATTCATCAGCTTTAGGGAGCTTTTGTCACATGGTACTGTTGCACTGGTGCAGAAATAATTTATCAAGTATGGAACTCAAGCAGCACAAGGTAAGTAAGTTTAACATCAATATAAACTTTTTAAATTTTAGAATAAATAAAAATAATAAGCTATGTTAGCTAGGCTTTTACAATTACATGCTGATGAAGTTACAAAGAGTATCTAAGCCTTTCTTATCCATGTTTTATGAACACTAAATATGCTGATAAAAAAGACAGGAGTGGTGGTACACACTTGTAATCCCAGCTATTCCAGCTATTTGGAGGCTAAGGCAAGAGGAATCCAAGTTGAAGGCCAGCCTGAGCAACAATAAAAAGGGTTGGGGATGTAGTCACTTGTCCAGCATGCACAAAGCCTGGGCTTTAATTCCCACCATTGCAAGCCAAACCAGATCAAAACAACAGTGCTACAAAGCAGCAAGATCTAACAGATGAGTTTAACCTTGCCCAACTCCTCTAAAAAGTCTCTGAAAGAAATTAAATGGCAAAAAAGGCCAAAGGACAGGAAATGGAAGGTAAAATAAAAGTTAAGTGTAACATGAAAAACATGGTTTAATTTTTAATTCATGAATTTTAAAAATAAGCAAATCTTACTGATTTTTAACAATGAATCTGAGTGGCTTTTGATGGAAGTCTACAATGGCAAAAACAAAACAAAGATAAAAACCACTTCTAAAGAGGAAGTTATTTACTACAAAAAGTCACATTAATAACTACCATTAAAGTCAAATTTGAAAATTGCAGAATTATCTTTTAATCATATGATCCAGCTATAAACCAGCTGAATCTTGGGTCTCTGTCTTTTGCTATTGCCTACATTTACTTTGATAAACAATCATCATGTGATCAAAAGGACATAAATTATTTGAGAGAATAGTATTTTTTTGCTACTTGCATGGAATTCCTTCTAACTGAACTAAGAAATAAGTTAGAGAAATAATTATTTCTTACTTGCTTGCCCTGGTAAATAATCCTGGCCTTTTCCATAAAAGGACAAAAATATTAAAGCACCAGTCTAATGACAACCTAGTTTAAATAACAACTCTAGTGACCTTCCTACAGAAACAAAGCTATTTCTCAAGCACTTTAGTTTGGAAAACATGAAGAAAGCACCTTCAGCTTAACAAGGCACAATTTCCATTTAAAGATCTCTTTGAAACCCTAGTCTGCCTATTTTTATCTTTGTGAATTTAGACAAATTATTTTATCTGAGATTGTTTTGTCTATAAAATAGTAAAAATGCAGGCTGGGGATATAGCACAGTTGGGTAGAATGCTTGCCTCACATGCACAAGGCCCTGGGTTCAATCCCCAACACCACAAAATAAAAACAAACAAAAAATAGTAAAAATGCATCATGTGCCACTAATTTATCAAGTTGTTAAGAGTAATTAGAAAACTTGTGTGAAAATTACCTATTTTAGAGCATGTATTTTCTAGTTTTGTGACCTCGGACAAGTCACGTTAAGTTCTCATTTCCACATTTTCCCATGTGGTTTCACAAGGCTCTATAAGGATTAAAGATTATTTATGCAAATGTACTTTATTAATTATATAAAATATTATACAATAGGAGGTATACTATAAGTGCCCACTTGATTTAAGATCTCCAAAAAAGGATGCCATTCACTAAGCGTATGCTTTCATTCATGACTACTAATACACACCAGGAGACTACTGAAAGAAAAATTAGGTAGAATCAAAACTGGGATATGAACATTTGCCCATTAGTTAATCCTTCTCTTAAATCATAACTCTCTGTGAGGCTATAAAGGGAACTAAATAAGTGGTGCTTGCACTGTGAGACCAGAAATCTGTTAGAAAAAAGGCACACCCTTTCTAAAAATGGATAGTCCAAAACATTATGTTCATTAAGTTCAATCTGACAATTATTTGATAAATACTTACAAAGTAATAACTATGATACAACATACAGAGGACCAGGATCCTGTTGATGAATTTATTTTCATGAAGGAAACAGACTTATGAAAAAATAAGACACAGGTGATAAATGACATTAGCAGCATTAGCATATATGAAGTACAGAGGAGCAATTATTACACCTGAGATAATTATTATTTTTTGAGCTGGATTTTGAAGGATGAATGAATCTACCAGCCAAACAGGGAGGAAAGAATATTCTAGACTAAGGTGAAATATATTAAAAGGCAGAGCACCATAAAATAGCATGATGTATGCAGTTCTGAATTTCAAAATCTTACAATGCTGGAAATGAGGTCCTTCAAGATGATGATAAAGAAGCCAGGGGTGGTGGTGCAAGCCTATAATCCCAGTACCTTGGGAAGCTGAGGCAGGAGGATTGAGAGTTCAAAGGCTGCCTCAGCAAAAGCAGGGCATTAAACAATTCAGTGAGCCTGTCTCTAAATAAAATACAAAAAATAGGGCTGGAGATGTGGCTCAGTGGTCTAGTGACCCTGAGTTCAATCCTGGTACCCAACAAAACAAAATGATGGTGAAGACACAGGCAGGGCCTATCAGAAAGCTCTTAAATCTATCTTGTGTTGAAGGGTTTTAATCAGGCAAATTATATAATCTGTGACTTTTTAGAAGTCTCAACTACTAGCTGCAGTGTGAAGGATGAAACCGTGGGGGTAAGAGTTCAGAGGCAGAGATTCCTGTGACAGACAGTTCAGGTAAGAAATGAAATTATGATACTATGAACTAAGACAATACTATGATCATTTCCTTCCTATTACTATGTAGTGATACTTAAATCCAACTTATCACACTGATTTTTAGTTCTAAAGCACAACTGCTTTAAATTGAAACTGTCAGCACTTCACAAGTGCAATCACAAGAATCTGCTGCATGAATTAGTTCCTGTTGTTCTAATAAAATTATCATAAATCATGTAAACTGATTGTGATATCAGAAATTTCACTTTAAAACCTGAATAATTTATGATGTTTCACTTTCAGTAGCAAATACTACTGGTTTAGATATCAGACTTCGATTTAAAATTGAAAAATATCTTTTTTCAAAAATAGAGCACAAAGTATCCAGTGTCCATTTCAGTTTGTCAAAATGCTAGGTTTAAACTTTGTTCATTAAATATCTCATTCTTTTTAAACCCATCACAGGGACCAAGATAACACCACCAGACCCTAATTCTTCTTACCTGATTCTAATGTCTCCTCCCCTTCTGGCAGAAGCCTAGCTTTCTTAGCATTCTGTGGGGCATCATCACCATTGTCCTCATATATGTTCGACCATTTTATTGCCATATCCAGCTCTGGAGGCGGAGGTTTCTTCTCAGTAGTGTAGGTCTCTGGAGGTGGCACATAGTTTGACTTCCATATTTTGAATTCCTTTGGAGGCTGTTAAGTAAGCACATTAAGAAGCCCTGTGACGAACCGAGGTTCCATGATTAATATGAGCACATGCACCTCCCTGCCGTTCGATTACCGTGCTGTCTGACTTTTTTCTTAAGGTTTAAAGATACATTTTTTTGCATCAAAAACACAATACTGTTAAGTGAAAAGCCAAAGGGTTCCCTATATGAATAAAGCTAATAACTTTTAGTTACCAAAGAAGAATCCAGTCTCAGATACTACGCCAAGGCTGACCCCTTCAGGAGGCTGCAGCAGACACTGTCTTGGAGGCAGCACCGCAGGCACTTCGGCGTCAAAGGGAAGGGGTCTCGGGGAGAAGCTGCAGCGAGGGGGGCGGGGGAGTCACCACCGTTAGTCCTCGCCCCGCGGGTGGGGGCACCGAGCGCGGAGGTTTGGGTCTCCTCACAAGGGGCGGGGCTGCGGGTCCGGTCCGACACCCACCAGGATGGGGAGGGGACCCGGGCTCCCTAGGGCTGGAGATGGGAGGGGGTGGTGCGGCATCCCGCGGGGGACGGGGGATGACTGCGTGTGGGGGAACGGACTGCCGGCCCCTAGGACCGCGCTCAGGAGGAATGGGGCGGAGGCCGGGGCCAAGATCGGGAAACGGGGTCGGGGACCTCACCTCCTCAGGCGCTTTGACGACGTGCCTCTCCCAGTCTATCTGCTTGTTGAGCGGATTATAGAGAAAGGCTGGGCGAGTCACGCTCCGGAACAGCTCATCGGGTCCGGGCAGTCGATTCTCTGCCTTGTTCCCACAGCCGCCCGCCGACTTCGCCAGATCCGGGCCCTTCGGACTCGTTTCCTCCGGCTCGCTGTTATCCTCCTCGCCCGAGGAGTCTGAGCTGCTGCTCCCGTATGCCGCAAAATAGCTCAAAGGATCCTTCTCCTCAGCTGCCATGGCGGCTGCGCACGACGACCGACCCACGACTCTGCCGGAAGCCGGAAGCCGCTTCAGGACCCTCCCCACGGTTGGCTCCGCCCCAACTCTTGCAATTGTTTCGCGGTCTGCGACCCCTGGTGGTTGGGCTGCGCTTCTACTCCTGGACTGAGAGCGTAGGCTGGAGGCGGGATGCGACAAATCTGTTTTTGCTCTTTCCCAAAGAGTCCTCAGGAGAGAGGAGATTTTTGAGCCAGTGGTCCCAACCAAACTTTAAGCATTCAGTAAGTTTTACTGAAGGCATAGAAAGCTAAGAACTTTTACTTTTCAGTATTACTCTAGTCACTGCCTAATAAGGAATAGACTGACAGGAGTCATGGAAACATAAGGTTAAGGGAATAATTCTATAAAATGGACCCACTGTGCTTGACTCCCACTTTCTCTTTTCAAAAGCAATTTATGAGCAGCCCTGTCCGAGTTACATTCTTCAGTAAACAACCTGTTACCTGCAGGGGAAATGCAGGTCCAAAATGCCAATAAAAAGAACATAAGTTACCCTGAAGGGTGGGACTTTTGTGACCTTTACACAGACCAAATCCCAGAACTCAGGGTGATAAGGGTAAGTTCCCCTAATCATAGAATCTATAAGAATAGGTTCCCATTAGAACCAGTCAGTTTAGGTCAAAGTGACCTAGAGTTGACATGCACGGTGGGGACTTGAAAAAAATCTGATGTCATCCTGTCAAAAGCCAAGGGGTGGACCTGGGCAGAACTTTGGAAACTTCCCTGGAGCCCCCCCCAACAAAACTGGAGGTGCACTGCCTCTCTCCTCTCTGAGAGGACCTATTGTGTCCCTTTAGAGTATCCCTCTTTGCTTTTACTTTTCCTTCTAATAAATTCATTCTTGTTACTGATATGTCTAAAATCCTTCTGGAATGATTGGAAGAATCAGATAATGAAATGGCGGAGAGGGGGCATTATGCACTAGAGATTAGAATTTCTTCCAGGTTCCTCTTTCAAAAAAAAATTAATCTTGGTGTGCCTCCCTCAGTTGATATGAAGCACTTTTGGGAGTGGTGAAGGCCTTTATCCCCCAAGGGGGGAAAAAAAATCTTTTCATTTGAACTCATTCAAATGCACTCTGAAGAGTCTCTCTCTGATGAAACACTCTTGGATTGCATCCCATTTCTCTGGGGGGGGGGTCTTCTGAACTTTCTGACTTCCCATTATCAGCCTCTTTCCATGCCTGCTTTATTCCTTTATGGACCATATATGTTGGTGCTTCCCAACATATTATCTTTCAGCAACACTTGCTAACATTTTGTAGAGGGTGTACAAAATTGCATGTCAGCTCACCTCTTTCCTTGGCATCAAGAATCTTATGCTGTGACTCCCAAATCTGGGTCTCTAGCCCCAACCTTTTCTCACACATTCCAGACCAAACCTCCACTGGCTCTTAAACTTTCCACAGGCACATCCTGCTGGGACCTTAATGTTTTACTTATTGTAATAGTACCTTGTTTTTCCATATAACTTGTCTCTGCATTGTGTTCTTTGTCTTAGAAAACTACATAATCATGTACCTATCTACCACAGAAACTAGAAATCTTTGACTCTAGTGAACTAAAGAGGGAATGATACTCAAATGAAGTAGGTGTCAGTGTAAATGTTTAGACCCCCACTCAAGCATGCCTGCTCATTCAGGTGATACCTTCATTTAAAACTTGCTATTCCTTCCCAGAGGTAGGCTACAAGGACAAATATATGTCTATCTTCTTCACTCCTCTATCCTAAATCTTATAGGACAATGTCCATGAACTCCTTGATGGAAGGAATGGATTGTGCTTTGTTCATGTTTATATTCCTAGAACTTAACTCAGTCCTGTCTACCAAGCAGATGATCAATATATACTGTTTGATTATAATAGTTTACCAGGAAATATGTCTAGATAATGGTTTCTCACATTTTTCCATCCAAGTATGTATATACATGTGTGTGTGTGTGTGTGTGTGTATATATATATACGTTTGAACATTTTAATGTAGTTTGAATCAGCTTGTCTGATTCATTTCAGTTGAAACTTGGGAGCAGGGACTGCTTCAGCTTCTCTGCCTTCTCCTTGTCTGTGATGACAAAGGTATAAAGGTATCTGCTGCATCGAAATTTAAATTTCACATTATCCTTGTTTTTCTTGATCTTAACAGATATGGCATCCTTTTGCCTGGCTGTGAGAAGAAAATCTTTGATTTCCTCAATTTTCTGTGGCATGGCTACTAGACGCGCCAATGGCGCAGATTGGCACAGCTAATGCTGAGAACCTAAGGGAATGGAAAAGAGTGAGCCTTCCGTTTCCAAATGCCTATATTGACAGAGGAAAATTATAGTCCTAAAGTGTGGTTTGGGAGTCCCTCAATCAACCTCACTTCTGACACCAGTTGCAAGTTCAGAAACCACCCTCAGGTTTAATAATGTGGCAGGACTCACAGAACTCACTGAAACCTATTATATTCATGGTAATAATTTACTACAGCAAAAGAATACAGAGAAAAGAAAAAGGAAGAGGTAGATCTGTCTATCCAGGAATGTTCTACATTCAAAGCTTCCAGTTGTCTTCTGCCAATGCAGTCATGAAAAGTACTAATTTCTCAGGGCAAAGATATGTGATAATATACATGGAGTATATTATCAGAAAAGCTCACATAAGTCTTGGTGTCCAGAGTTTTTACTGGAGCTTGGCTATATTGGTATGGAGAATACCTACATGACTGAGCTGTCTCCAGCCCTCCAGAAGTCAAGCTGATACAGTGTGGTCCAAAGTCCCAAGGACATACAATTTTGGGAGTAAATACAATATAGTATCTTGAAAATGTATGCAAATTTTGCATAGTTGTCCCTAATGCAGTTCTTTATTTTCCTAAGATATTTTAAAATGGCTTATTATTGAGTAAAATTGGTACTCTAAGAACATAACTACTTTTATGACTTTTAAAAGTGGCCCACTGTTGAGTATTACTGGGGTTGGGGCACCTAGTTTAAGCAACACAAATCCTTGTTATCAAAGCCACTAATAGCTCCTGTGTGACCAAGTCTAAGAATCACTTCCAACTTGATATTTCAACAACAGAGGTCTCCTTCTTGAAACCCTTTATTTTCCTGCCATTCCCTACATTAAACACTGGAGTTCTTTCCTATTTCACAGGGCCCTTTTGGGGTTTTTCTGTTGCCTTTTTCTTCATCTCACCTCTAGATGTTGAAGCACCTTAGGATCAGGCTTGGGTTGTCTTCTCTTTTTTATCTACCCTACTTTTCAAAGTGAACTTTCCAAGTCTAATGGCTCTAAATATTTATTTATGTTAATTCTAACATTTATAAAATCAGTCCAGTTTGGTAGACCAAACTGCTTTATCTAATTTCATACTTCAGTGTCTTAGAGAATCCCCTGAAACTTTAGCATTGTTGTAGTAGATTGTCCACAAAGATGGCCACTGTTATGATTTTGATATGAGATGTCCCCTACAGAAAGCTCCTGCATTATGCAAGAATATATGGAAAAAAATGATTGCATTGGGAGAGCTATAACCTAATCAGTCCATCCTAGTGTGAAAGGAATGAGTAGTAACTGTAGGCAGCAGAGGAATGACTGGAAGAGATGGGTCACTGGGGCTGTAGCCTGGAAGGCATCATCTTGTCTGTGACTCCTTCCCCACTGTTTTTTGGCTGCCATGAATGGAGCCTCTCCTTCACCCTTCTACCTCACCTTACGCCCAGAGTAATGGAGTCGGCTATCTATGGACTGAGACCTCTGAAACTGTGAGTTGCCAAAAATATTCCCTCTTCTAATCTGTATGGTCAGCTATTTTGGTCATGGTGATGAAAAGCTTACCCAAACAGCCACCAATAATTCCTCCCATCCCTGTGCATATGTATCACTCTTTCCATTGAAGGTTGGAGTCTACTTAAATCTTGGCTGGCCCTGTAGCTTGATTTAATGAATATAATGCTTCTGTTTTGCTTTCTTGGAGTTAGTGAGCCACCATGTAAAGAGGTGCATGAGGAAAGGAAGAACCCCAGCCAGTTCCTGCTAGTGCAACCATCTAGTTCAGGGAAAACACCTGTGAGTGAAGTCATCTGGAATTATCCAGCCCCAGTCTAGCCCAGGAATGACCCAGAAGAACCATAAAGCTAAGCTCAAGTTGATACTAATAAACAAATAAATATTTTATTTATTTTAAGATACTGTTTTGTAGTAGTGCACCAAGCAGCCACAGATCATTCTCCACCCTCAGTACTTTCCATCTCTCACAGTCTTCTCTATCCCTAAATTGCACCACTATTCATCCAGATGCTCAGGACAAAACTCCAGAAAGTCTTGTCATTCCAAGTTTAAAATATATTCCAAATTCTAACACTTTGACCAACTCCACTTCTACCACCTTCATCTTTTGCTTAGAAAATGGCAAGAGTATTCTTATTGTTACTTTTTCCTTATATTCAATAATCCTTAAATTTTAAAATTTTGGAACACTTTTTAACTTATGGAAAATTGCAGGCACAAATTACAAGGACAAAGAACTTTTTTTTCTGACCATCTGAGATGATGTTTACTATGCCCCCAAACTTTAAGCTTAGTAAAAACATTTGTCTATATTACAAAGACTTCTCAAAAAACCACCAAACTAGCAAAAATATCTGGCTCAGATTCACACGTGGTAGTTAGTAGTCGTGTCTTTGTCTCCTTCAACCTGGAATCGTTGCTCAGTCTTTCATGATTTTGTTATTTGGAAGCTTATAGGCCAGTTATTTTGTGGAAGAAACTTGAATTTGTCTGTTGTTTCCTCACAATTAGATTCAGGTTATGAATCTCTGGCAGGAATATCTTGAAAGTAGTATTGCAGTCTTCTCACTGCAGACTTTTAGAAGGCACATTTCAGTTTGTCCTGACTCAAGAATCTAACTTTGATTTCTTGCTTATCATTTAGTCAGCTAGGTTTCTCTACTGTAAAGCCACCTTTCCACCTTTTGTAACAAATAAGAATTTTGTTGGGAGCCACTTTAAAACTGTGTCAGTATTCTATTCTCTACCAAATTATTTGTTCATTTATTTATATTAGCATTGATTCATGGTGTCCCATTTTATCTAGTGAGTTATGATCAAGTATTATTTTTATTTTGATGTTGAAATTGTTTCAGATTTGGCCAGTGGAAACCCTTCAAGGTGGCATCTGTGTCCTCTGCACGTCTCCACCATTCCTTGAGGACTTGCTTGCATCCTGGAACATGTTTTAAGCTCATCGAATCCAGGGGTGCTTTCACAGAACTATATCTTCAGCCCTTTGTATTTTATTTATTTTTTTAGATAGGTTCTTGCTAAGTTCGCTAAGTTCCTGAGGCTGGCCTTGAACTCGTAATCCTCTGCTTCAGCTTAAGTCACTAGTATTATACACATGAACCACCATGTCTGGCCGAAAGTTGATCTTATACTGTGCCCTGAAATTAGTCATTTCACCAAGGAATCCCAATTCTTTTTAGTGGAGAATGGCATTTAGAAGCTAAGATCTGGGTGCTGTTCTCATTGCAAAAGAAGATATTAATGTTTCCAGGACTCACCAAGAGACAAAGCTAAAGAATTTTATTTCCATATCCATTCATAGAAATATTGAAAACCTGAGTTTGCACTTACACCTTCAATTTTAATTCAATACTATAGAGTTTCTTTTAGTTTTCTCTTTCTATATTTGTAGCTTCATTCTGTATCATGAGAGATCTGGATCCCATTATCCTAAATGTGTTTCCTTATTTGATCAGTCCCTAAGTATGCGATTGATCTTCTCTCTGTTGCTATCCCTTTCCCCGTGGAAAGCCCTGCTTGCTCCACTTAGGGTCTGCCATCTCTATTACCTATCCTTCTACAGATTCTTTCCTCATACTGTTCCTACCCACTTCTTCAGGTTTGGATGCTGGGACACACCTGCAGGCCCTCCTCTCCATTTGTGAAATTTCATCTCAAAGCAGGCTCCTGAACTCTCCAGTCACCCTCACCTCCCTTATGTTCTAGCCACACAGGTCAATACAGCCTTTACACTCAATGCAACTCCTGCCTGGAACTCTCCCTCCAGAATCTCACAGGACAGCTTCCTTTCTTCTATTAGGTCTCAGCTCAAAGGTCACCTGCTGTTAAGAGGTCTTTCCTGATAATGCTATCAATTCTTTTTTGCAAAAAGAATTTGCCATTTTTCTTGGTAAATTTTCTTATTAAAATAAAAAAAAAGACAACAAACTCACCTTGTAGGGTTATTATTAGGATTACAAACAAGATTGCAAGTCTACACATGGGTAAACACCAAACATAGTACTTGGCATCCATAAGGCTGAGATTCCCAAGTTTTGTTGTACATAGAATCACCTGTTTCCATATGGACACATTTGAAGTTAACTGGTATGGGTGCTGTTCCCCTGTTGACTCCAAAATGGAAAGCAAAGTTTCAAAACCATTGCAATAAAGGACAATTTCTGATCATTAAATTATAATATGGCAGCGACTAGGACTGTAGTGGCAGAGTGCCTGCCTAACATGTGTGAGGCATTGGGTTTGATCCTTGGTACCATATAAAAATAAATAAAATAAATGCATTCTGTCCATCTATAACTACAATTTTTTTTAAATTATATGGCAAATTTAGGGAGGATTTTAGGAGCTGCACTCAAGTTATCTGTGTTAATATCTGCTCTTTCAGAAAGGCTTCATAGGCCACATTTAATAACTATAGGTCTATTTGTTTCTTGGTTTGCTACTTTTGTTTCCAAGTCAACAGTATACATATTTATCCAGTGATAAATGAGGTTGAAGATGGAAACTTCTTCCTCCTTTTGCATTGCTTAAACAGTACCTATGAGATTTGAACTTCTATCTCATAATTCACGCAAAAATTACTTTAAAATGAAATGGACCAGAGAGCAAAACAGGAAAATAAAACTGAACTTACAGAAATAAACAGGAGAATAGCATCAAAATGCTGGGAAGGCAAAAATCTCTTAAACAGTAAAACTTACCGACATAGTAACTCTACATCATGTACAATCAGACAAATGAGAAATACTCCATTTATGTATATGTGTCAAAATGCATTCTACTATCATGTATAACAAATTAGTATACAAAAATTACTGACATATTTTCAAAATAGTAATAAAAAAAACCCTGCCATTATTCTGGCCTACTGTTTTGCCAGTGTTTGACCTTGTATTGGGATAACCAAAGATGAATCATCTCATCAAAAGTGAATTCATGAAAAGACCTGGAGAAATCATAAGTGAACATGGCTAAATGAAAGCAGTCAGACTGAAGATGCAACTTACTATGATTTTAACTAGATGATATACTGAAAAGAAAACTAGAGATAATAAAAGATGGGTATTTGCCAGGGACAGAAGGTGGAAAACAGAAAAAGTGGAGCAAATGCGTGGAATATAGGAATTCTTAAGGCTGTGAAACTACTCTGTATAATACTGTAATTGTGGACACATGACATTATATACATTTTAAAAACCTATAGTATTGTACAACACACAGTGAACCTTAAAATAAATGAGGAACTTTGGCTAATAATAAGGTACCAAGATTGGAATAATAATGTATCAATACTAGTTTATCAATTGTAACAAATGTATCACAACAATGCAAAATGTTAATATGGGGAACTGGGGGAAGAAAGGGTATTTGAGAACTCTATACTTTTTGATCAATTTTTATGTAAACCTACAACTGCACCAAAAAGTATTWTTTTTTTTTTAATGTGAGATACTGGGGATCAAACCCAGGTATGCCCCACAACTATGCTCTATATAGCACTATTCTTTTTTTTTTTTTTTTTTAAAGAGAGAGAGATAATTTTTTTAATATTTATTTTTTTTTAGTTCTCGGCGGACACAACATCTTTGTTGGTATGTGGTGCTGAGGATCGAACCCAGGCCGCACGCATGCCAGGTGAGCGCGCTACCGCTTGAGCCACATCCCCAGCCCCAGCACTATTCTTTTTTATTTTTTGAGTCAGAATCTTGCTAAGTTGCCCACACTGGCCTTGAACTTGTGATCCTCCTGCCTCAGCCCCCTGAATTGCTAGGATTATAGAGGTGTGCACTACTTTCCCAGCTCCATTTTTTAAAAAGAAGAGAACTTAAAGGTGTTGTTTTATATTGTGATAATGTGGACCCTGAAAAGTAACTTTTTCACTGCTGCATTAATCAACAGTAACAAATTGCATATCATGTCAATATGTCATTCTAATTTGTATATTTTTGGCAATGGTAAGCTTTTAGTGTTTAAAGTGAAAAAAACTGACTTATAGGATTCAAAATCCAAAGCCTAAGTTTAAGACCTTCATTTTATTGTTTATGCCATTATTCAATAGCCTAAAAGAAATTCAGTATTAAAACTAACCTCTACCTGGGTGGTGGTATTTTAGACATTCCCTATTGAAAAATTTGAAACTCCAAAACATATCACTACATTTTAAAAAACTTTTATTGTTGATAGCAAATTTCCACTTCTAGGTTTTTAAAATAATAGGAATATATAGGAGGTGAATGTCTGGAAACTGGTAGAATTATAATTTAAATGAAGACAATGAGAACATAAGATTTATATGTGTGAAATTACTCAAATTTTGTTATATAACAATAAGATAAATCTGGCTAAATAAGATAAATTTAATCCCTGGTACCCTCACACTTAATTAATTGGGCCTAATTGTTTCAAATACTATTAAAAACAGAATTGTCACACATACATCTCAAAACCAATTTGTTCTAGCCATTTCAACTGTATAATGGTACTCATTAAAAGAATGAAAAATACAGAGAAAGTGTTTTTAAAAATCTCATCAAATTACATGTAATGAGATTCATAACAAGATTTTTTTTGGAGAAAGAAAATTATAAAGGATAGACTATATAAAAACCCAAAGAAAGTAATATTAATTAGTAAGGTTAGTAAGAATTTTGGCAAACAGATCATAAGTGGCTCAAACTCCATGTTCCTCCAGAAACAGGAGGAGACACCATAAGACCAAATGAGTGGGAAAGAGATTCTTTTCAGTTTACTGGCAGTTTTCCCATCAGTCGTCAGTTTCTTGCCAAATAGAAATAGCTTAATGCTGAAAATTTACTGGTAAATGGGTTGAAAAGACTATACTCGGAAAATTTCTTATACAAATGCATTGAGAACACTATTCCCAGTCTTTCTGTTCCCAAATAGAGAAATGTTCCCCATTAAAATTATCTTACAATATAAAAAATTTCAAAGTATTAAACCACCTAAAAAATGAAAAAAAAAAATACTGAAAAGTACATGATCAACATGATTTACATTTAGCTATTCCAAAAGTATGCTTTTATTCTAAAAAATATATATTTACAAAGTATACTTACATTGTTTTAAAAGACATTTATCAAATGGAAGAAAATCATTATAGTGATTTTATAAAAAGATTCATATCCTTTAAAACATTTTTTTTGTCACTACTAAAAAAATTAAAAGGCAGTAAAGTGTCACTGTGGTAAAACAGCACGTGATCTTAAGGGAAGAAACATCTCACTAGAGCTTCCACAAGTTCCTCCATCTAACTGCAACTCTGGTGGCAAAGGAGGAGCCCCAGGGTCCCCAGGTCTAGGAAATGTAGTTGAAGAGAAGATGGTATTTTCAGTTCTGCCTACTTCCAGGACAGGCAAATTCAGAGAAGAATCAGTAGAAAAGAAGGGAGCTGTGCTGGATTCTCCTTCTGGATGGTACATGACAGTGGATGCTCTCAGTTTTTCAGAGGAATTACTTTCATTTGAATTTGATCTAGAAAGATTATTCATGGCTCCATCTGGAAAAGGTTCACAACTGCTACATTTCAGTCCTACAATAAAATTATTCAGATATAAATGAAAAAGTAACTAAAAAATCTGAGTTTAATTCAGTCATACTTATGCTTATAATCCCAGCTGCTTTCGAGGTTGAGGCAGGAGGATGGCAAATTCAAGGCCAGTCTGGACAAGTTAGTGAGACACAGTCTCAAAATAAAAAGTAAGAAGGGCCGTGGATGTAGCTCAGTGATATAACACCCTGGGTTCAATTCCCAGTACAAAAAAATAAATAGAGGTTACAAGATAGGTGTGGACTCAGACTCCACCCTCCTTTCTTCCCCATTTTAAAATTTTGAGACAAGGTTTTGCTACTCAGCTTAGGAGATTGAGGCAGGAGGATTGTGAGCTCAAAACCAGCGTCAGCAAAATCAAGGTGCTAAGCAACTCAGTGAGACCTTGTCTTTAAATTAAAAAAAAAAAAAAAAAAAAAAATAGGGCTAGGGATATAGCTCAGGGGCCAAGTGCCCCTCAATTTAATCCCTGGTACCCTCACTCCAAAAAAAGGGCTGTGGCTGGGGATGTGGCTAAATGTTAAGCATTCTTGGGTTCAATCCCAGTAGCAAGGGGAAAAAAAAAAAAAGACTATGAACTAGTTACCACATGATCAGAATTTAAATTGCAATTTATAAATTCTGTCATAATCCATTTCAATCTCATTTGCTTTTCTTAAAAATCACATTCTCTAGATAAGGAAGCAGTCTCAAAGAAGCTAACTAACATACTATAATTTAATGTATATTTACATATTTAACCACTGAAGGACCTGGAAAAAATGAAGCAATCCTAATTTTTTTTCATAAAATAAGAAATAGTTTTCACAACTAATATTTTTAGCATTCTGGTAAAAAACAAAATCCAATTGGCTTATAAAAACAAAATTTAATCAGGGCATATGCTATGAGCTGATCAATGGCAATTATTGATTCTTGAATCACAGTGTGTTACAAGTCAAAAGGATTTTAGAAGTCATCTCATTATTACCAACAGAGATGGGAAAACAGGTAACTCAATTTTTTTTTTTTTTTTTTGTACCAGGGATTGTGAGTACATGACTCTGAACCACATCCCCAGCCCTTGTATGTATTTTATTTAGAGACAGGGTCCTCGCTGAGTTGCTTAGCACCTCACTTTTGCTGAGGCTGGCTTTGAACTTTTGATCCTCCTGCGTCAGCCTCTCAAGCCGCTGGGATTATAAGCGTATCCCATCACACCCAGCCAGGTAACTCATTCTTATTCCAAGACTATTTTGTGGGAAAGTGAGAACCTTAATGCAATAGATAATACCCTGGATTCTCAACATAATAGTTTTCTTAAATGACAGTGTTTATTCCTATAAAACAATTTTATTGTATCCGAAGGGTCTAGTTGACAACCCCAGAATTGAAAGAATAAATACAAGTACAATTTATTTTTCTGTTAGGCTTAGCAAATATTCAACCCGTTAAAGGAATGGAAACTCCTGAGTTGACAAATTTTAGTACAATGTGCAATATACATATTACATGTCATTTTTTTCCACTAGTTTTTCAAAATACATTTACACTCTGTTCCATGCTACAGAAACTATTATATATGGCTCATGAGGGGAATCGTTCAAAGGTGTCTCAGTAAGGACATACAGACCATGAGTTCCTTAAGGGCAGAGCCCTAAATTTCTCATTTCTTGATCTCTAATGCCAAGAACAAATGGAGTAAAGCTATATCACGTGAAGATTTAAATTAGTGCTCTAGAAAGAGAAGCACAGTATTCCAATCAGAGTGTGCGTGCTCTGGGATGAAAGTGAAATGGGAGAGGTAATGCTATTCCCTTAATTAGTCTCAGTTCTCATGTTTCTCATGTCTTGCTAAACTGTGTGACTCTAGTGTTTAAAGTTGTGTGTACATACATGATTGTTATAAACACATGCCAATAACTTTATCTTGTGATCAACTGGTAAGAGAATTAGCAGAGTTGAACTTCACTTGTATACAATTCTTAATATGCGATGTACAGTGTAGTGTTTTCAGAGATTACTTCCATCATATATCTATAAATGATATTGCTAAATAAATACGAATACAGGATACTGAATATTTCATTCTTGCAATGTAATGACATCACATATGGTAAAAAAAATGAATAATAATTATTTCCAATTTTTTTTGTTTTGTTTTGCACTTTATTTTACTTTTCTGAAAAGCACTGTTATGGGCTGGGGTTGTGGCTCAGTGGTAGAACGCTTGCCTTGCATGTATAAGGCCCTGGGTTTGATCCTCATTACCACGTAAAAATAAATAAATAAAAGAAAGGTATTGTGTTCAACTACAACTAAAAAATAAATATTAAAATAAAGCACTGTTATATTAACTCTTTGAAACCTAAGATGCCTTACCTTTCAGATGTTCTAGTTTTATATTTCTAAGTTTTAACACTTCATCTGTAATCTTCTGTATCAAGAAGTTCTGTGTTTTTTCTCTCCGAATAGATTCAACAAGAGTGTCCAGTCCTTTGGGGTTTTCTTGTAAGTAGTCTAACAATTTTCCAGCCCTTTTTCTACTTGATGTCCGGCAAGAAATTTCTTCAGTGTCTTCTCTACTGAGTATTTTTTTTGCACGTAGATGATCAAAATGTCTCTCAGCTATGATTTTCTCACATAAGTAAACCCGCAAATTTTCTAAAGCCTAAAAGACAAAATATGTTTCAGTGTTATTTTATAACATCTAGTAAAACCACACAGGTAACTAATAAGTAGTTACAAGTATTGGGGATTGAACCCAGGGCCTCATGTGTGCTAGGCAAGCACTCAACCACTAAGCTACAATCCTAGTCCTAGTTAGGAATCTCAACTAGTGTGAGACAATGTTCTGAAGTCAGGAGGCTCAGATCACTTAAAATGCATGTGAATTAAGATGAAAGTTCAAGTAGGTATAAGAAGTTCTCAGATATTCCTGTTTCTGCCTGGTTCTGTTCTTACCTTCCCACCTGAAAACCAAGACCAGGCTGTTTTAAAGAGGGGCCAGTCAAATCTGGAGAGCCCAGGTCCTTAGAAATAGGAAGGTCTGCTTAGGGTCACCTGTGGTGGTAAAGATAGGAACAGACTACTGCACATTTTAGGTACCATTTGGCAAGGAATTCAGAATTAAACAGAAACAGGGAGGATAACTTAGTATGAAGCCTCATAATTTTTAAGTTTCTCATGTTTGTTATTAGTTATTCCATCTCCTTAGAGTGAAACCATTAAAAACAAACAGAAAACAAAACTCCTAAACTAAAAGAGCCCATAATGTATCAGTCTTTGGGATTGGTTAGAAAAACTATAACTTCCCAAGTCAGTCTAGGTGGAAGGGGAGATATGTAATGTGTGTTGTGTTGTGTGGGGAGAGGAACCTAAAGGGAAAGTGAATGTTAGGAAATATAAATCAAGAAAAAGGAGACAGGAGAAAYAAGTCTAGACCTAAGATGTGCCTGAATAGGCTTAATCTGCAGAAAATACATTTTTTTAACAAATTATTTGTTCCTATATATTTTTTTAACTAATACATAACACACAAAAAGTATAGATATCAATGGGGTGTCATGTAATGTTTGGAAACATGTATATTTTGCACATTGTTTAAATCAGGTCTATGTTAGTCTTAATAAATGCCATTAATAAATCTGATGTCAGTCATTGCATTTTAGTTCCTCTATGTACTAGATATGAGATCTTAGGTAAGTTAGTTAACTCCTCTGTGTCTCTTTCATCATTTAATTTTTATAAGGAATAAATATTATATGCAAAGTGTTTAGAAAAGTGCCTGGTACATAGTAGGGATGATGACAATGATGATTTATTTGACTCACATTAAAAAATGATGACCTAAAAGCAACAGAAGGAATCATCAGCATCCTAGTATACACCAAGTCTTCTGGGTGAAGACATTATATAGTTTTCAGTTCATTGAATTCCTACATGCATTAACTGTATTTCACCATACAATCACTGCAGAGTTTATGCCTTTTTTTTTTAATAAAAATATGAGGTTTGCCCAGTAGGTGAATCCCTTTTCTTTTTTAAATTGTGCCAGTATAACTTAAAAAATATTTATTACTAAACTATCTTTGGTAAACAGAATACTTGTGAATGTACATTAATGCTGTGGCAACAATTATGCAGTGAAATACAGTATTTACTCATATAAGAGATGTTTTTTTGTATCTAAATTCCTAGTAAGCCAAGTGCTGAACACCGAGTATACAAAAATGAACAAACTGGAATCCTGTATTCAAAGGGCTTCTGGTCTAGGTGGGGAATACATACCACATGCAAAACAATAACTATAGATTACTGATATGGCCCCCCAACAAAAGATTATAGGTCAAGCATTGGGCAAGCATAGAGTGAGCAGGAGCTATCCCCAGGACTTGGGAAATCTACAGAGGCTATACTTGAGCTAAAGGCATGAAGATGTGCAACTGCAAAAGACAATGAGAAGTCTGGTGTAGCTGGAACACAGATATGTATGAAAGGTTTGAGAGGAATGAAGTTGGGAAGTAAAACTAGTGTTACATCATAGGAAGACTTCTACAACATACTCAGGGACGCAAATTTCCCTATAGTCAAAAGGAAGAGTCATCAAAGATGCAATAAGAAAACATTTGCAGAGGACTAGGGGGAGTCAAACTGGGGCCAAAGGAGAAAGGAGGCCAGTTAGAAGATTGCTACAATCATCTTACATAGAATAAGTTGAATGTATGAATCTAAGTTGTAAGGATGCAAAGAAAGATTATATTTAAAAAAGATGAACTCCTTGAAAAACCTCATCTATAGTCATTTTACCACCTATATGGTAAAATATAGGTGGTAAAATGACCTTCCTCACTTAGACATCCTAAATATACTTCAAATGTGACATACCCCAAACTAATTTACCTTCCCCTTTTCTTTACCCCTGACATTCTCAACTCATTTGGAAGTTCCACAATCCATTCAGCCATGCTATAAATCTAAACTCTTCCTTTCTGTCACTCACTTGCCACATCCAATTACCCATCCACAAGGTCCTGCCAACCAACCACATACATATTTACACACATATATGCACACACAATCTGCTCCTTCATCACTTCTACTGTTATCGCTGCCCTACTTCGGGTCCTTATCATATCTCACATGGACTAACAATAGAAGCCTAACCATACTTCCTACTTCCTTCCTCTTTCTAAAATTACTCCTTTTTTTTTTTAAAGAGAGAGTGAGAGAGAGTGAGAGAGAGAGAGAGAGAGAGAGAGAGAGAGAGAGAGAGAGAGA